CTTCTCGAAAAAAAAACCAAATTGTTCCATAGAAATTACTTTAGTGATAATTACAAAATTAGTTGTTCCTTAAAAAAGTTAAACCATCTAAAAGCCATGGATACATACATTGACCTTGAATTCTTAATATATACTTTAATTTTCTTGTATTTCATAGAAAAGTTAAGCCATCTAAAATCGATGGATATATACATTGACCTTGAATTCGTGATAGTTTATATTTTCTTGTTGCAAGAAGCCTCAATTGTTTTAAATATAAATAAACATACAGTGTGTTCCACTAGAATCTAGGACGCTTTTTTAGCATTTTCGCTGATGATTCAATTTGTTCAAAATAAAATTCTTATTAAAAAATCATTTAAAAAATCAATTTTATCTCGCAGATCTGTTAAACCTAGTAGGCCTTGATCAAATCGGGTTATTAAAACATTTCTAATAAATATATTTAACGAAATTTTTGATAAAAAAAATGCTAAAAGGTTCTCCCTAAAACGCCTATGACTCGTTGGAATATCTCTGTACAAAGTATTGTATTTAAAATGGATTTTTCTAATTTTTTTTACTGGGGCCCTACGATATTTCACATTTTCATTCAATTTCTTGCAATCATCAAATAAAACTGAAACGGTTCGAGAGACTCAATACTTTTTGTCAAAACACGCTTTAAATTCAACAAAAGATTCAAAAATGCAATAACATAGATGCTGTTTCATTAGAAATAAATAAGGTAATGCCCAAAAATGATAAAACACCTTGAATAATTGAAAATTATTTTAAACATGAAGAAATTGATTTGGAGCAACTTTTATTAGAGAAATTTTTTTGTATTATTAGTTCTACATTTCGTTTTATGAAATTTAATACTGTTTAATTAACATTTATTTGTAGTGCCAATTTTGGGCGAGCGGAAAAATTTCATATCGCAAATATAAACAAAATGTTTTGGTATCATCTCAGTTACAATTTTCTCGAGCATTTTTTAGACGATAGTATCGAAAATATCCCAATATCTCGCAAAATAAGGCTGAACAATATTAATATGATACAAGAACTCGGTATACTAAAAATACTCCGTTGATATGAAAAAGTCACGGATATTAAGAATATACGGGATAACAACTCGGATCCTAGAGTTAAGAAAAAACTAGATGTGATATAGTTGAAGTCTAGACTGGAATCCGCCTTCACAATATTGGCAGTTTGGTGGTGTATTTACAGGGCGTTTCTAAAGTAGGTAACGAAACTGAATGAGGTGACAGTAAATGTCGATTCTAGAAAAAAAATCCGTGAAATATGAATCCGAAAAAACACTCAATAAAAAAGTTACAGGGTGGTCAAGGTGCATTGCCAAAAACATATATGTTTAAATAACTCCAAAATGGCTGAACGCATCCGAATGAAACTCGATATAGATCTTTACATTACCGATTACGATAATTTTACGAGGCAACAGTTTTTTCCCCGTTCACAGTAACGGAGATAAAGGATACAATTAGTGGGTTTTTTTTATCTTAAAGTAAAAGTTTTTGGTAAAATAATTCACTTTCCTGAAAGGTCATTAAATGACAAACAATATCGATTATTATCAGGGCTGAGCCACCATAAACACCAAACGATAGGAATTAATTACGCAACATCCTCACGATACCAAAGGCAACAGTATACTAACGTGACATGAACGTGAAAAGCATTCTGAGGCAGCGGCTCACGCTTGGCACGCCATTGAATTGCGGCCCAACCTTGATTATTATCACTGTTTTCGAGAAAATTGGGAATAAATATGCACACATATAAAAAATGTTTTTGAAAGCGAATTTTTTATTTTAATCCCACTGCCTGTATACAGTAATTGAAATCGTCCATACATCGTTTTTAAATTAAGAAATTGTAGTACACCATAACAATGCAACACTGCATGGTGGTTAATTGTTATTCATTATAATTGTTTGGCCTGGATTTATAATTGATTACATTTTAATTAACAAAATCATTTTCACCGGAAAATATATCTTCGCAACAAATTAAAAAAAAATATCGGTACACCGCGGTACAAACGATTCGGAGAGATTATTAATTTATTTTAAAAGGCATAAATTTCATTTAGCGGTAAATTTATAACGCAGTGAATTTATTAAGGAAATTTCTAACCCTCGGAACGAGGATTATGCTGTTTTTTTACTTATTTTTCGTGGAAAAGGAATTTCAGCAATCAGAGCGAATCGTAGTTGAATAATTACCCAAATTCCTTGTAACTATGTACAGATATTCGCATAACATTCTCCGCCCTTATCATTTCTGCCTTTCTGTAGAGAAAAAAAATCGCAAAATTCCTTTCAATATCAGTTGGATACGGTAGAAACAATGGAATGTTGCATAAATATGCATTGGCACTCTTTAACTTTTTCCATTGTGTTGGACCAATTAATAAACCAAAATATTATGCAAACTGACAATGCAAATATATGATACATATATTTTAACTGCGGTTATAATTCGCGACGTAAAAGAGTTAAAATATTTGCGGTACAAGCTTCAGTGTCATATTGACTATGTTAAAATATATCAAGTTTTCTGGAGTGAAATTTCGAAATCTATCCCCACTGCAGTGAGACCAGAATTAGTTTGCTTGTACGGGCGTCACACTTGCCTACAATATGCTACAGTTCCCCCTCCACGCGAGGCGGTTAAATAACGTGATTTACGAGGGAACTGAGGCCCGCTCAAAGCTGCTTATAGTTTCAGTTCGCGGTTAATGTACGCGTCGCATAGTACGCGGGTAGTGTCGGATGTCAGTGTGAGGGATACTACCAAGCCTTAGGATAAGGACAAGGCAGATAACGATGGATTATTTGCAATAAGATGTAACCTACATTGAGTCACGCGCTGTGTTAATTTTTGCCTGTCACTGTCTTATGTAAGCATTATATCAAGATACGCATGTCGGGAACTGTTTTGTATTGCTCTAGGAACAAAGTGTCTCAGAATTACAAATCGTACGCGTGCTACAATTCAGCAACCAGCAGCGCGCAAGGTTTCGAAAACGTTCCATTTTGACAGAGGTTCTCAAAACGTACCCGTGAATTGACAGGTTTAAAAAAAAATTATCTCCTCAAGTAAACGGTAACGTAACACAGGATTTGAATTGTGCCCCATTTTCATTGCGAAGAGTCATTGTGCATCATTCCGAAGGGCGAGTGAAGATTTTGAAAATTCTCTACAAGTACGGAGAGTATGTAACTGAGACTGTGCGGAAATTACGTGGAATTTTCGGTAGAAATAATTACAACCGCAGTTAAAATATATGTAAACATTTAATATTCCCCTGTATGTAGAATATCCATTAAAAATATGTGGTTTCACCCTATATCTCACCTCAAAAACGAAAGCTTCAAGCAAATGTTCAATTAGGAATATATTTTAATAGTTTTCGACGAGGAAAACGTTTCTTAATTGGTTGGCACGTTGTAGTGTTATTGTTTTACATAACTTTTGAAAATATCGAATTTAAATATGTAAAAACAACTTCGTTTCTTGTATTATATAACAAAATAAATATTGATCGTAGCGTCGCATCTGGTACCTAAACAGTTCTATGTATTTATCAGAAATTTTCGGCCAATACCTAAAAGCGGCTGTTATCAAGACAGAATTTCAAGGTCAATGAATCGTTCACATTTACGTAAATTTTAAATATTGCAAAGTTGACAATACAGTGCTGTCGTTCGATTTGGTTCGATGATAATTCAGCATTCTGCTTTGTACAGAGTGGCCCATTTTAGGTAGAACCACAAGCCACAAACCAAATAATAATAATTTTCAAACTAAATGTAGTGGTGCAAACAGATCCTAGCTGGCATGATTGGATTTGGATATATCAAGATTTGGTCTATTTTTATCGACTCTCCTGTATCTCGGTTGTTACAAGAGATATCAGAAATACGTCGCAATGATTTTTGTGTAACACATTGGTCTACCCGGGTTTTGTCTTAATTTCATATTTTCGTTTCGAGGAACGATGACATTTGTCTTTAATCTCATAAATAACTGCATATTTCCTGATACGTGGAAGATTGCAACAGAGCTTCCAGTTAAAAAAAAGGAAGATCCTGCATTAATCAATAATTATAGACAATTCATCAAATTTCTCCAAAATCTTTGGAAATGTAATTCATGGCACACTATTTAATGATATTAGGAACAACCTAGCCACGGAACAACATGGTTTTATTGATGCAAGATCATGTATAACAAATCTTGCTGCTCCGTCAAAGTGCCAAAGCCTTTGATCAAACTGACTTGATCACTTGACACTGTTTCATAAGCTGGAAAAATTTGGTTCCACAGCTCAATAACTCTCTCTGTTCCGCTCACATTTGAGTGCTGAAATCGAGAAATCAAAGACCAGTTTTTGCTTCAAAATATTAACTGGTTAGTCCTTTGCATATAATCTAGACAATCTGTTGTCTTTAAAAATCATGGCATCAATACCAACATAATGATTTCTTGTCCGATATATGCAATGGTTCATAATTTTAATAATCTCTGTGGTTCTTGTGATATAAATAATTAATCCCTTACAGCAATTTGAAATAATAGCAATATCTAGACTATCACAACAGACAGTTGTCAGGTTTTAATTCATTTATGTTTTTACCGATGTTTTTATATGTTTATGTATTTTTATTGCATATTTCAATGTATTTTTAGCAACAATTCCTCTCGAAAAACGATAAAATCAATTCTGTAAAAATGTTTAAACATATTTCTGATATCTCTTACAAACAACAGCCAAAATATAGGGGTCAAATTCGAGAAATCCTCTGTACATATTTGCAAATCAATCTAGTTAGCCAGGATCTGTATATATCACTAAAACCTTGAAATAAAATTGCGCGCATATATTGGTTGTTTTGGCCTGTACAGTGCAATCCACCTCGAAATGACCCACCCTGTATATTCTAATATTCCTTTTTAGCATATTAAATAAAAGTCTTACTCACCTCTGCATTTGACACCAATGTGGCCCTGACCCCAAATATAGTCTTTACCTGCAATTTAAAAAATTACACATACTTAAATATCAAATATCATAGTAGGTACTGAAAATGAAACATTTGCATTTATAACTCCGATAACAGCTTTTAGAAACTATGTCTATTAAATAAGCAATAAAATGCAGTTTTAGTGCAAAGATAAAATCATTCACTTTATGAAGTTAACATTTGAGAGAGGTAGATACCAATTTTTCTTAATTTGTCAAATAAAAAATGATAAATGAAATTAAACAAACATTTTCAAACAACAATTATTATACTTTATTTAGGCATAATTATACAGATACAATATCGATAAATAAGACTAGTCTTTCTTATGGTCCATGGACCTTTTGTTTTTGAGATGCACATTTTTTTCTAAATTTTAACCATATTTTCCCAAAATAGCATGTAATGCACTGAAATTCGGTACAGATCAGTTTTCGAGGGTGGTAAACATTTGAATGTTCTTAGTTATTCACCATCTGCTTAGTAAATAGTAAATCTCGTTAAAATCGCTGAATTCTAGACCCATGATCCATAGTAAAAATTGTCTTATTTTTGGATGTTCTACCAGTCCTTGAATTGACAGAACGTTATTTTGAACGTTGAATATTAATTTGATAACATGTCCAAGTAAAATATTCTCTAGTAATTTATTTTTACTTTTTTAAGTCGACATTTGCAATTTAAAAAGTATGAACAAACCTCTATACAATTATTTATTAAATTAATAAACGCGTAAGAATATGTAAAAAAAAAATTGAACTAAGAACGCTTCAAAAACAAATGAAAACTTTTTCATAATTCAATTAAATGTATATATGTATTAACATAATCAAAATAAATTGGATTTTAGAATAAACTTTGCATTACTTAATAAATTTTTAAAGGCGCATTATAGTTTTCCGTAAAAAAAATATTTAAAATTATATTTAATCGCAAAAACTCGTTTGGATGACGACAATAGTAGCAATAAATAATTATATATAGGTATGTTTGTGTAGCGTCAAGTCAAAAGTGTCTCGAGAAACAAAACTATTAGAACTAAAAAATCTGGCTATACAATTGAAAAATACATACATACAAATACATATAGGTACATACAACAATGGCAGCAATTTTATTTTTGAAAATTCGATTTATACCTGTATTTTTCCTGTTTTTTAAACAAAACGTGTTTTTTATTTTATTTGAAAAACGAAACTATTTTCGATTCATTACTTTTTATTTTCATTAACGTCACCAAACACTTCAAAAAATGTAAAATGACTCCCAAAAAAAGTTTGTAACTATTTTATAATCAGTATTTTTTATCTCATAAATATAATAAGAAAACAAGAACAATTTTCACTCGAGCACCCGACACAAAACATACGAAAACTCGAAACGTATATTGATTTATCATGAAAAATGTGCCGTACAAGCATTTGCTGCAAGTTACATCAAAATAGATAAATATATCAACAGGTAAATATTTGCAAGTATAGGTACCCTTTGACGCACATAGGTTTCTTTATTCATCGACTTCCAACAAAAGCCCGCTACCTCGATGTGTACATTGCTTAGCAAACATCAGAGAAGCCCTTTCTGTAATCAATGGAAAAAATTGTTCGAAATTATTTAATAACTCACCATAATAGAAATCAGGAAGATTAAGTGTTACGAGAAGGTGAGCTTCTTTCATCCACCCACTTCAAATTTTAATTTGAAATAACTTTCGAGAGAAGCTCGAAATGTAGACACAAGAGCATACAAGGGTCTTGTAAAAATAACACCGCAAGCTAAAACTCGCGATTTTTGGTCCGACTTTCAAAAACAAACGACTGGCGTTCGCTGCTACAAAATACTACAAATTGGTGCTTAATGACATGCGAATGTCAATGTTCTTTCTGGGTCTAACAATGTATAAAAAAAAAACAATGTGTCTGTCCTTAAACTTTTGCATGAGATTTTTAATTATCAAATGTCGCTCAACTTTCCAATCGAATCTAAAAGCCGTTTCCAATGGCTATACACAAAGACAATCCCGGCCAAAGTAGAAACCCATGTCCGAGGAGACCAAAATTACCCTCCACGAGAAATAGGTATACCGCGGACAATAACATTTTCGACCATGTTTCGAAAATTTCCAACCTATGCGGACCCATCAAGGACTGAGATCGAACGTGGACCCTGACACCTTGTCGTCATTCACCAGGATCGGAACCTGGCCAGTATGGATAGTGCGCTGTCGGCAAAATACTTCAGAAATAGAGAATTCACCTCAGTTTCGGATTTCGAAAAATAAAAACCTCTCCGAAAAAATGCGAAATTCAAACCTAAGGCGGACGTCGCTACACGGCCTCTGCGGACCCATCAAGGACTGGGATCGAACGTCGACCCTGACGCCTTGTCGTCCATTCACCAAGATCGGAACCTGGCCAGTACCAATAGTGCGATATTATGTAAAACTAAACTCATTATTGTCTAAATATGTATAGACATCGCAAAGGATAAGTTATACCTTTTTGAGATACTTGCGACTTGCCTTGATTTTCACGATTTCTCGTAAAACCAATTAAAATTGCCGTGAATGTCATGTTAACTCATAAATTCTTTTAAAAATACGAATACTTACCATGATATCATAAGCAGTAAAATTAGAGAACCCAATATTAACCAAGGAATTCAAAAATGAAATAATATACAGGGTGTTCCATTTAAAATAACAAAGCTAAAAATATTTCCTTTATACAACCCGCATGATTACAGGCAACTTTTATTAAAACCATTTTTTTTATAAATTTTACAATTGCAGAGTTACAGAAGAATCCCTCTTAGGTGGAACACCCTGTATATATTTTTTATTTTTAGGGTTGTCAGAGTTAACGTTATTTTATTACATTTATACTAAAACATTTACATTATATTTCTGATTACCACCTAACCCTCATTTTCTTCCAAGAAATAATACGTTTCAATATAAAGTACCTCAAAGGAAAATTGAGCTTTTTCATTACATCATAGAACATTAGGCAGTAAATAGGTCGTTGGAAGCAATAATATAGATGGCGGTTGATTAAAAAAATTGAAAGTAGTTGATTCGTTTTTTATTACTTGGACTAAATTGGAGCATCAAATCAAACACTTGATTGTGAAACCAATTCAGGATAATACAAAGTGAAAAGAAAAACTATTTAAGTACACGTAGAATTTTATCTTTGAATTTACAGGGTGTCCCATTTCTCCCAGATTCCTCCATAGCTCTGGTAACATCAATGATACAGAATATGTCCCAAAATAGATATTAAATAAATTTCTTCATATTTTAAAATGTTTTAAAAATGCATTTCTTCAAATGGAACACCCTGTATATTATTGCATTTTTAAAATTCACATCAAATTTAAGGCCTACTTAAATAAACCCTGTAAAACGCATGATTTTGAAGTCGGCTACAACCCCTCGAAATTAAATCTCCACTTTCGAATGCACCCCGTATAAAAAGTTACACTTATTTTTTGTACTATCCATGTATTTCTACCCTGTACCTTGCTTAATGAAATACGAAGTAAAATATAGAGCCCAGGGGACCTCTTCGCAGACAATAATCCTTCTTGAATAAATTAGAAGCTAATAGTGGAAGACGAAACGGCGCTGCCCCATCCTGCAGTCCCGAATGTTGAAATAACGCTATCGATCGTCAACCTTCGATAGGAGATGGCACAGTAAGAAGATAGATGCATGTAAATTCCGATGATTCTATCGAAAATATATGTTCCCAAGACAGAGAAATGTTTTCCGAACATTTCTTTGTTCGAGCAAAATGGAAATTGGCAGCTAATTCAAATTAATTCTAAAAATTTTCCTTAACTGACAAGAATTGATGTAGTCAGTCTTAACAAAATTAATTATGCCATACTTCAAATCCCAGAAAGTACCACAATGTTCGTATAGATGTGTCTACACAAAATGAGGATGTAACAACTGTACTACTACTCATTCAGAACATTCCGGAATTTCTATGACCACAAAGATACCGCCTCTTTATGACAGTTTAATTCATTTTCAATAGTAATATATCGCCAAAATGTGAAATAATAATTTATTAGCAAAGACAGTTTCTTTCCCGAAAGTTACAGTACCATCTTTGCAACTTCTCTATTTTTGGCTTTGAGGTCTTCAAAAATTCGTTAAGTTAACTGTTAAAGTTGAATTTAAGTTTTTTAAAATTTATATATTTTAAAGACAGATAAAAATACAGGTGTTCAATTTTAAATTAACTTTTAAATTTGTCAAATCACGTAATTTATTCGAAATAACTAGATATATTTATTATGTCGCAGTTAATAATGGAAAAGAATGTTAGATAAATGACCATCTCTTGTAGCTCTACAACCCTCCAATCTTTTAGCAAAATTTTTCATCACATGTGTGTGGTTCAATGAGAGTGATTTGCCCAGTTATGTTTTCTTTCAGACGTTGAATGGTTTGAGGATTGTCAGTATAACTTTGCTCTTCAAAAAACATAAAAGAAGTCTAATGGTGGCAAAGCGGACCAAATTTCCGTTTCCAAAGATCGATCAATTGTTTCCGTTGTATGGTATGTTGCAGCATTCTGTTGAAACCACATATTCTGCACATTAATACACTCCAATTCGTCCCATAAAAAGTTATTAATCATCGTTCGATATTGGGCATCATTCCCCCAGACCAAAAACCACACTAACTAGTTACTTTTGGTGAATCAAGTGGTTTGTTTAATGGCTAATTCCTGTGAACGACGATGAATTGATGTATTTGGTTCTGCAGTGACACTATCATGACAGCAAGCTGTAATATTATTTGTGGGCGACCACAGCGACTGTAAATTTTACTTCTTTGACTTTGGATTAGAACTAGTTTCTTCAAATTTATTCACAATATTTCGAATGGTGCTGTTCTGTATAATTTTTAACAATAAAGACGCGTTGTTCAATGGTATACTTCTCCATATTTATTAATCGCCATGTTTTTACACAACAGTTGTTGTAAA